TGATAGTTATCAGTGTCTCTTATCTGTGATATTCTCTTTGTTTTGCTATTTTTTTCTGAAAATCAATTACTTGTACTGAGTATAATCTGTTTATAAAGCACACCAGCAACATGCAAACCCCTTTAGAGGAAGGACAATGCCAATTAAACAGCACTGAACTTTGAATTTAGGAAATATTCTTGTGTGAACTTGTTGAAGGATAATTAATGTAGGAACCATGGTAGTATTTCTTGAAATGGTGAGGACCATTGCTTTAATTCAGTTTTATGAAAAGTTACTTGTCCCCAGGGTATTCTAGATTGATCTTGGGTATCATCAAAAGTACCACCCTAGTATTCATAATAAACAATTACACTGCCCTTCACGTGTATAAAATTTGGGCTTTTTTTCTAATATCTTGATTCTAGATAGTATGGTACCATTAATTAGCTTCACTCCCTCAGAGGATTTTCTCCACTGGGATTCCACTTCTAATTGCTTCTCTTTGGGAATCCTCCTGACATAAATTCTGATGTCAATATTGTGAGTATAAATCACTCAGCACAGGCCAGAATTTGACCTTTGAGGTCATCAAGGAGACATCTGTATTTTCACAGGTAGGAGAGGAAATGTGTTTGTGTGTTAGTTTTTAATATCTAGCGATTTATATATTCTCTTCATTAAATTGTATACATTTTAAATAGTATGTATTAAAATAGGTAATTTGAGGGACATTTGCACAGACAATGCATTTGCCATGAAAGAAATCTGAAGGGTGATTACTTAGCCCTATCTTTCAATTTTAAGATATTTCGGTATAATTCTTATTATGGATGTTCCAACAGTTGTGTTTACTATGATCAGTTTCAAATAATAATTGTGTATTTACCATTTGCTAATGTCTTAACGTCTACTTTTACCAATCTCCACAAGAAAAAGACAAATTGAAAATCATTCAGGTCTAGGTAACTTAATCATTTAAATATTTTTCTGACCTATAACAAGAAAAGTGAAGCTCAAATACCTTTTTCTTATGATTCTTAAACATATGAGAAAATCATCCCTGAACTTCACTGTGTGGAGAAAAGGAACCTAGGTGAACAGATCTTAAGTCCTTCTTTTTTATTATATAAGATTCTGGATTATTTCCCACTGCCTTATTTCTGTCTAGAATCTGGTTTTTCCCAAGCAATACTTGTGCTCGAGGGAAATTTTTGATTTGTTTTCAAGAATATTATTTGATTTCATTTTTTCGATCAAGATTCTTGAAATATGAATCCGTCTACTTACAATCAAATAACTCAGTTAGGCCAAGAATCTGAACAGTAAGATGATGTGGAGAATTCTGTTTCGGTAGGCTGCCTATGCAGACTCAGAATCATTCTTGGTTCATCATCAAGTTTACAGCCTGCATCTGAACACTTTGCTATTGGTGTTTCTGGCCTCTGGGCAGCAGTATGACAAACTACCCATGGGCTCTGTATTTGTATCTTAGTTGCTTCTGCTTGCCATTGTCTCACAATTCTGGAATTCAAATATGGCTAGCGAGAATAGCATCCACTAAAAAGGATGCGTGTCTAGATGACCAGTGGAGCCTGAGCAAGTTTGCAAAGCTCCTTAGAGACTCAGTCAGTTCTAAAACACAGACATTAGACTGGAGAAGTTGTTCATCACCTAAGAGTTCAAAGAGGACTTTGTCTTCCTTAATTGGCTTATTGCCAATTAAGTTACAACTCCTGGCACTATCCTAGATTCTTGGCCCAAATTTCTTCCTACTCTTTACAGTTAAGGCACTGAGACCTAGGCCGACTTTTCTTCCTCCTCCATCTCTTATCCTTGTTACAATGCCTGTCCCTATCTGTATCTCCAAAAAATCCCTAAAACCAGGAGTTCTTTTATTTTCATTTGGTTCCTCCAGTACCCAACAGCTTCAATCATTGTAGCAGGATAGGAAGATAATAGTATTAAATAAATTGAATCTTAAAACTTTAGGCAACAGTTACCCTAAGCAGTTACCTAAGCAGGCAATTCAACTGAAGGAAGAGATTGACTTTCCTGGGAAAGCAGAGTATTATGGAAGAAAATTGCCACACTGAGACCTATAATCCTTGTTCTGTACTTGAACTGTGAGTTGGGGCCAAAACCATAAATTTTATGAGCTTGGTTACTCACATAACTCAAGCTATTCCTTCTATTTTGTCCATGGCCCTAATTCTGGCATCCATTGTTTTGTTGGAACTTGAATGATAGCCAATAATTACTTGTTATATGTATGTGTACATAAATAAATGAATGGCTCACAAGATTTTACAAAGGGACTTAATACGTTTTCTGAACTATAAAATTCAATGTTAATAAAAGCTGAACAATTATTGAAAGACCCCATACTATTATATTTAATAGCTAATACATCTCCAGTAGACTTAGGGTGGGTAAACAATTAAGTATTGATTTCACCTTGATTTACTGAGCCTGCTCAGAGGGGATAAGTTTTGTGTAGCCTCTGACGAGTCCTCTGATAGTGACATTTTCTAATGTTAGCGTTAACCCATGGCAGGGGAAATATTTTGATATAAGTTTTATTTTAGGCAATTATTAGTATACTGAGATTGTTTGCAAATTAAAATTTAAAGACATACTAACACATGCAATATTTTACCTTATTTTGTTGTAATATACATCCAAAAAAGTTTATAATAAATTCAGTAAAAGTGCCCATATTTATGAATTATAAGCTACATAAACTATAAGAGCACAAATTAAACCACCACCTAAGGTCAAAAAAATGTTTCAGCATCTGCTTTGAAGTAAAGATACAATTTAATAATTTTCCATTTAAGTGATCAATTAAGTCAAGAGCAAATATTTCTTTCTTTATTTATTTATGACAGTCTCAAGCTCTCACCCTCGCATTAGCTCACTAATGGCATTAGCTCACAGCAGTCTCAAACTCTTGGGCTGAAACAATTCTCTCTCCTCAGCTTCCCACATAGCTGGGACTACAGGCATACATAACAACACCTGGGTATTTTTTGGTTGTAGTTGTCACTGTTGTTTGGCAGGAGTGGGCTGGACTCGAACCCGCCAACTCTATTGCATGTGGCTGGTGCCCTAGCTGCTGAGCTACAGGTGCCAAGCCAACAGCAAATATTTAAATAGTCTCTCTTTTCAACTCTGATCTGAAATGCTTTATTTTTCATATATCTAGGTATAGAGCTATTTTTGGAATTTCTATTCTGGAATATAGGTTACAGAATTTTTTTTCCAATTGCATATCAATAACTGACTGTTATGAATATAAAAATTTTATAATAAGTCTTGATATATAATAGGTAATTCTCTGTTTATTGTTTGGAAGATACTTTCTAGACCTTTACTTTTTATGTAAATTTAGAATCCCTTCACTTGTAAACAATTAGGTTAGAATATTGATGGGAATTTGACTCGATGCATCATTTTGAAGAGATTTATCTTTTCCTGTTCCCAATGAACAAAACATCTCTCTTGATTTTTAACACACACACACACACACACACACAGATGTTGAGCAGACCTAAATTTATGTGGAAATGGCATCAAAGCAGATCAGACCATTGAGTTTTCTGAGTATATGGTATTAACAGGGAATAAGTTTAGTTATTATTGCAGTGGCTCATGCCTATAATCCCAACACTTTGAGAGGCCAAGGCAGAAAGATTGCCTGAGGTCAGGAGGTCAGGAGCAGCCTGGGAAACATAGTAAAATCCTGTCTCTATAAAAGATAAGAAAATAGCTTTGTAGGGTGGTGTGCACCTATAGTCTCAGCTACTTGAGAGGCTGAGGTGGATCAGGAGGATCACTTAAACTCAATGGTTGAAGGCTGCAGTCAGCTATGATGATGCCTGGCTGAGAGAGTAAGACTCTGTCCCTCTAAGAAATAAATTTTTCACCATTTTAGAGTGATTGAGTTAATTCCCTTAAAATTCACTGATATAAGGCTCTTTATACAGCAATATCAAAGGGAATCTAAATCTAACTGAGGACTAAATGGTGATTCTGTGTAGCAGAATAAATAATAAATAATAGAAAAATAGCAAGGAATTGAAATGTATTACCCAATTAAAATATATGCTAAGATACCAAAAACCAATGAATATACTATCACACTTGAATTGAGATGTGAATCCATGAATAAGTATAAATATGCTTGTTCAATCCAAAAGGCAGATTGACTAAATTGTGGTATGGAAATGGAAAGAAATGTTTTTAATAACATAACATGAATGTTAGAGAGTCAAATAAAAGGGGTTGTTTAGATAGGTATTCCACAATTAACCTATAAACCTATAAAGCAAAGAAACAGCATACACATGCCCACCACCCAGAACAACTTAAATACATAGAAATTCTTGTCAGATTCAACAGTAAGAACTGATAATAAGAGTTATATTATTATCTTGGTGAGATAAGTTATATTATTATCTTGGTGAGATATATCATATATTAACAGATCACTGAATGGAAAAATAGGAGACGAGGGTCTCAATGGGAAAAGTCATTTTGCCTCCGTCGGATTCCAATTCTCAGACTTCAGATGAAGAACTTTGCTTGGGTTATCCTTAAACTTATTTCCAAATTTCCATGTATCTTCATGTGTTTATGAAACCACAAAGGTAGACCTTCTAAGTATTTTAATGTCTATTGTTATTCTTTGACATATATTATCTAGAGTTTTAAAATAAATTTCCCCAATTGTAATGATAATCCAATTTATAACTTAGTTTTAAACCTCCAACTTGTTTGCACAATATGATTATAAATTCAAACTGCATGTGAATGATTTGATGAAGACCATTTAGGCTTGCTTTATGGTATATCTATTCCTATCCAATCACAAAAACTCCACTGACATACTAAAACGAAAACCTTTTAAATGTTTTAAAACAAAGTATAATACTTAACTAGGTTTTAGTGATTAAAAGAAATCTTTTCCTATTTCTCCTTAGATAATCAAACCATTGCCTCACAAATGAGATAAAGAGATGCTCAGAAGAAACTACACTGAAGTGACGAATTCGTTCTCTTGGATCTAACCAGCCGCCCAGAGCTGCGAGTGGCTTTCTTTGTGCTGTTCCTTTGTGTCTACGTGGTCACTGTGGTAGGAAACCTGGGCATGATTGTTTTAATCAAAATCGATTCTCGACTTCACACTCCCATGTACTTTTTTCTCTCTAGTTTATCCGTTCTAGATCTGTGTTTCTCCACAAATGTCACTCCCAAAATGCTAGAAAATTTCTTATCGCAGAAGAAGACCATTTCGTATGCAGGCTGCTTGGTGCAGTGCTACATTGTCATCGCCGTGGTCCTCACAGAGCACTGCATGCTGGCGGTCATGGCGTATGACCGCTACATGGCCATCTGCAATCCGCTGCTCTACAGTAGCAAGATGTCCAAGAGCGTCTGTGTCCGCCTGGTCATTGTGCCTTATGTGTACGGCTTCCTCCTCAGTGTGATGGAGACCATGAGGACCTACAGTCTCTCCTTCTGTGGTGCTAATGAAATCAACCATTTCTATTGTGCAGACCCTCCTCTGATCAAACTGGCGTGCTCTGACACCTATGCCAAACAGCTGTCCATGTTCATAGTCGCCGGCTACAGCAACGCCCAGTCCCTCCTAATCATTCTCTCGTCCTACATGTTCATCCTTGCAGTGATCCTGAGAAGCCGCTCTGCAGAAGGGAGAAGAAAAGCTTTCTCTACGTGTGGCTCCCACCTGACTGTCGTCACCATCTTCTATGGAACCCTCCTCTGCATGTACCTGAGACGCCCCACGGAGGAGTCGGTGGAGCAGGGGAAGATGGTGGCCGTGTTTTACACCACTGTGATCCCCATGCTGAACCCCATGATCTATGGCCTCAGGAACAAGGATGTGAAAGAGGCCTTGAGGAAAGCAATAGGAAAGCAGAAACCAGGGAAATGAAAGCTCTGAACTAGTGTTGAAAAGTTCTATAAGTAGTAGGATGCAATCTTATCGGGTTAGGCACTCCGTTTTAGGCTACTTATGCACAACACTTTTCTAAATTTCTGCTGTGCTGCTGACTGAGTTCAAATTCCTGAAAAAAGTGGCGGGAAATGGGAAGAGTAGGAAGTACCATTCCCTCGCATTCCTGCTGTATGAGCTAGGGTCATTTCTTGGGGGCAAAAAGCAGTTTAAACAACACTGAACTTTTGCTTTGTTTTGTTTTCAAGTCAGAAAAGAAGTCTCCAGGCAGCAATCTTGACCTATAGGCCAGTTTTATTAGGCGTGGTCTCTAGACTCTCTGTAGCCTGTGTTACTTTGAGCATAACTTACATTCTTAAGGTCACTTCATGATCCAAAATGCCAGAAAGCCAGCCCACATGTGAAAATGTTATTCCAGTTCTCTAAATCTTTCATATAAAATGTCTGTTTTTATCTCGTATGTCAAAACGTAATTATATTCTCCTACTTCCCTATAAGACAGTCTGGGAAATGTTGATTCCAGGAAATTGTTATCAGGCTGAAAGATGAATGTTATATCTATAATTAAAGAGCAAACTATTCTGTTGATAAATAATGTGCAAAGTCACGTGGGAGGAAGACAGACGACGTAGCTCTGATGAGCTTTGATGGAATAAAACACGTTTTTATTCAAGTTAGTATACTCATGTACACACACACGTACACACAGGCTTAAATGTAAGTACAAGTCAATCCGTTCTCACTTTTTTACATCTACTTTGCTAATAACCTTCAATTTACTTTCCAGTCAAGACCTCCTGGAAACTTTTCCTAACTAGTGAAAATACTTCTAATGAATCTTTCTTTATGATACAGTAGCACCAATCACTTGGTGGGATTAAATAACTTAAAAACTACACATTATCAAGATTATCTGATCAAAAAACTTTACATAATAGTATAGTTAAGAACAAAAAGCTTGCCAATAAGGGCAGACAAAAGTTAACCGCTGTTTTGTTTGTGAGAGATGGTTTTGTCACACTACCTAACCATGGGATGATGTATATTTGTACAACCTGAAGCACTTTAGAAAATTCTGTGTCTATAATTATTATTTTAATAACCAATATTTTTATTTTTTTAAAAATACACATATCTTACCCTTCTTACTCACTTAATAGACATGTTGCTAACCCAATTCTATTGTTATTCAACAGTTGAAATCAATGACATAGTATTTCACAGGTAAGGGAAGATTTTAGATAACTAATAAAGTCTCCTCAAATACTAAGTAAAATCTCTTGTGTATTGTTTAGTCATATAAATTAAACATCTTTCCAGAGCTGAGTATTATAGCTAACTTTTTTTGTAATATCATAGAATGCTTTAATGGATGTATTTTCTAATGTAATCTGGCTGTTTTAGAAATCAAGGATTTATAGAAGAATCTTTTTCTTCATATAGGTCGAGGGCATATGTTATCTAATTTTAAAATTTTTCCTAGCTTTTTTCTTGTGTATTTATGGAATTTAAAAAAACCACAAGGCATTTGTTAATGTCTATCTCTCTAAAGTTACTTTACAAATTATGATGCTTAGGTTGATGTTGTTGATGTCAGCACGAGCATGGAGGCTTTCTCCAGTGTAAATACTTATTACTGCATTGTCACTTCCATGTTTGCCATTCCACTCTTACCATTTCACCCCCTGTCAGTACACATGGGATTCTAATATGCCCTCAACTAAATTTCAATACTCCTTAGACCTTTGAGGTTGTTTGAGAATGGTCAACGTCATGCTGTCAAATCAATGAACAGGCAGCATGCACTAAAATTTCTTACTTAGTTTCTCCATGGCCTGATACTACCTCTTAAAATATCTCAGCAGCAAAGGAAAGGTCACAACTATAATGTGTGTCAGAGGAGAAGACGTGTGTTCTTTATAGACTAAGTCATAGGAAGGTTTTTCACAAGTGAGAACCAATCTGGTGTAAAAAAAAAAATTGTAACCCATGGGTGGTGGCTTTGGCTCAAAGGAGTAGACTGCTGGCACCATATACTAGAGGTGGTAGGTTCAAACCCAGCACCAGTCAAAAACTGCAAAAAAAAAAAAAAAGAAAAAGAAAAAATATTCTAACCTAAGAATCAGGGAAGAGTTGGAACCAGGTTACTAGGTTTGAATGAATAGCACGTTACCCAGCCATCTAAAGATTGGGTCCAGACACAATCTAGGGATCACAGTCTGAGTTACTACATGACAAGAGAAGCAACTTCTGGCAAAGAGGATCAGAGTGGAATCCTAAGTACTGTCCAGTCTTACAGTGTTTCCTCTCATATCTAATCCTGCTTTCTGAAAGTTCAGGGAATGGGTAAGGCAGTAATTCACATGCAATGATTATCACCCTTTTGTTATATTAATATTAAAAAATAATTCAATTATTCAATAAATAATTCTGTGGACTGAAATAGTTTAGCCACTGCAGGTATAATTACTAATATGTTAACTGTTGTGTTTATGATAAAATGAATGTTATATGGTCTCCAGGGATTTGTGAGAATTTAATAAAACTTGTGGGCTGATAGATGGCCCAAATCATCTTTTTAAATAATGATCATTAACACTTGTGAGTCAATGTTAATTAATATTATATAATTGCTATGTCACTAAAAAAAATGAAACTTTTTCCTTGTAAAAGTTCATACACACTTCTGTGTTCTAATGTATGTGTGTGTGTTTTTCTCTTTGCCAAAAAATTCTTCAATTCTTCACAGTTGCCAATGGCCCATCCTACAATTTGACTTAATCTTATGCAATTCTGACATTATCTGTAGGTAGCATCAGATCACACAGGCTCAGGGCTCAGTCCTATAATATTCCACTGCCCCACCTCTCACTTCAGATACTGATAGCAAGTGTGGGTTCCTGATAAGCAGGCAATACTGGGGATTCTTCTAACTTCATCTTGGGTTTGATAGAATGGCCCACAGAACCTAGAAAACAAATTATTTTTCCAGACTACTGGTGTATTATAAAAGGATACAATTAAGGAACCACCAGATCAAAGATCGCTTTGCATAGGGCAATGAGTATGGAAAGCAGTGTGAAGTTTCCATGCTCTCTGCAGGCCCATCACCCATCCTTCTACCCCATCCATGTGCTTATCAATCCAGAAGTTCTCTGAACCCTATCCTTTTGGGTTCTGTGGAGGCTCCATATATAGGCTGATTGAATCAACTTTTGGCCACTGGTGATATGATCAACCTCCATTCCCTCCTCCTTCCTTAGTGGTTGGAGAGTGGAGCTAAAAGTTATGACCCTGTAATCATGCATGTGGTTGGTTCCTCTGGCAACCAAAGGAGTTACCCCATGTTTAGGGGATCTCCAAAAGTCATTTGATTGACATAAATGCAGATGTGGTTCAAAGTTATTAGTTAGAAGGGTTTTACCCTTATGGTTCTCCTCATTCAGGAAATTATAAATATTTTTCATTATACTACAGTACCACATTAGCACATTTCAAGGTAAAGGAAAGTCAGAAATTTAAAAATTGTGAAAGACATATTTCATAAGACTTCTAGAGAAATATCCTAATTTGAAGGAACAAGAGAGATAAAGGGAAAGCTAAAAGAGATCACTTATGTATGTTTGCCTGAGGAAAAGGGGAATCCCTGACTTTACCCTGTTTCTCTAAACTGTAGTAGAAATTGGGGGGAGACATCAAAAATGTTCTATTAGGTTTGTAGAATTCAAGTAATAGAATGGCTTGTATTATTTTTCCTACTTAAATCTTGGAAGCAACAAGCAGGCAAAACAGTAATAATTGCAGTATGTGGTGCCTGGAGAGGTAGGGTCTGAGCTTCCAAAGATCCTCTGTGGTCCACTATGTTATGATCACTCCAAAACACTCCTTTCTTCTTGAAGGATGAAAAGAATTGGAAAAATTATTGGAAGGTCTCAGAGTTCTAAGTATGGAAAACTTAGTAGTAATCAGATAAGGATGTATTAAAAGAATAAAAGCTCCATGAGAGCTGGTATGACATATTTAAATTATTCCAGGTATGTAAAAAATATTAACAAATATTAATATCTATAGGTGATGACATCAAGCTTGAAAATCACATAGTACATGTAACAGTTGGGCTCAGATGCAGTCCCGTGGGAAGCAGGGAGAGAAATCATCTAATTAGCTTCTTCCACTTTACAAAATGGAACTCGATTAGAGAAATAAAGCTGCATGTCTTGTGACATAGAGGTCATGACCTGAAAATCATACCCATTGCATTTATAAACAATGTTATCTTTGTCAATAAAAATTCAAATAGTATTTCTTAAGTGTGTTTATTACTCTTCTATCTTCAGTGGTTATAAATGATAAAATGAAGAAAACAGCCTTAGAAATCATCTTTCACCAATTAAAAGGGATAAGGCATTTGTTTTTCTACAATGTTTAAAAGGAAAAAATAAACAAAGGTGGAAAGCTATCAATCTTAATCTAAGAATTAAGTTGGTTTCAGAGAATTACATTTCAGTGAAAAGAAGCCCATATAGTGTTATCAGTGCCACATGCTTAGGTGATGTATGCTCTTTTACTATTTCACTTCTTCTTAACATTCTTCTTCAAAAAGGGAAGGGATTTTCTTAACTAATGCAAATAAACATACCAGTGTTTGCCAACTGTGAAATATAGATCATCTGAATATATGTTGTGACTGCCCTATTCAATGATTATCATTACTAAGGAAACCAAGATCTTTTTTTCCTTTCCAAACAAAGGCAACATAGACCCTAGAATAGAGAGGAATCATTTTAAACAGGAAGAAAGAAGTTGTTCAAGCCCTTGTTTTTAAATGTTCTAATTGTGTTGAGAGATATTTTGCTCTTGAGATTCATTTCCCATTACACATGATGCAATATGTAACATTTAAATTGCTTCATGTTCTGATCTGTATTCTCCAGTGGGAATGTCCCAGACTGGGAAACCCAACCTTTATAAATCCTTTT